ACTTTAACTAATTTAACTAAATTGAAATGATCAAAATAAAAAAAGAACAATAAAATAAAAAATAAATAAATATAAAAAAAATAAAATCTAATATAAAATTGTATATATTTTAATGAAAAATATAAAAAATTCAAAATATTAGGAAAACTGTAATTGTATAATAATGATACTAAAATAACACTGCACTCTTTTCATGATCAGGTCAAGAAATTGAGCCTTATCTGCCCACTCTAATGGAAACCATGTTGTCAGCCCTTAACAATGCAGAAAACCTTAAACTGAAAGAGCTTGCTGTCAGTGCAATCGGTAACATCCTCCTTCCATTAAGCACAGCATTTTTTAATGTTATAGTTATGCTCCGACTTATGATATCTCTCTCTTTCTCAGCTAACGCAGCCAAGAAGATGCTAGTGCCTTACTTTCCTCCAATTATTGAGAGTCTGAAGGGATTCCTGACAGACACAAGAGAGGAGATGAGGGCTCTGCAGACACAGGCTCTAGGTAAAAACAATGATCCAACATCATTCCACACTTAGTCATGCATCATGTGTAGGCACGCAGCCTAACCTAATCTAATCATTTGTCTTTCTCTGTATGCCGCTCATAGACACACTTTCTGTGTTGGCCCGTACTGTTGGGAAGGAAGTGTTTAGTCCGTTGGCAGCGGAGTGTGTGCAGTTAGGTTTGAACCTCACTGATGCAGTGGATGATCCAGACCTGCGGCGCTGCACGTATGACCTTACATATACATATGCAGAGATGGTATAAAAGGGAGGGAGACTGAATAGTTAGGAAAGAGTAATGGAAAAATTGTAACACTTAATTTGTTGGCTGTATGAAATGGAAGTTCTACGTTGCAGTTAAAAGAGCTCATGCATGTTTGATGGATCAACCTCAAAATGCTGTTCTATTCTATTTATTTATTTGCTTACCTATTTGTTTTTGTTTGTTTAATTTGAGTGTTTTGTTTTTGTTTTATTTACTTATTTTTAGTTTTTATTTCTTTTATATTTTTATTTGGGTTTCATTAGTTTTCTTAAAGCATGATTTGAGTTTAAATTATGCATGGACCAAACATAGTTTTTATTATATATTTATTTATTTATGTACTTATTTATAGTTCGTTTTTATTTGTATTTTTTGTTTGTTTGTTTTAAGTTTTTTTTTTTTTTTAAACATGACTTTAGTTTAAATTGATACTTGTGTTGTCAGATTACTGTCATTATTTATTTATGATTTGCAATATTTTATTGAAATCTTGATAAACTGGAAGTTTTGGTCTTTCCCTATTAAAATAGCTTACTTGCATACTGATGCATAAAGGTTTTAAATATTGAGGCTGAATTTTAAGCAGATTGCATTCAGAATCTTTCTCTCATTCCAGGTATAGCTTATTCTCTGCTGTATCTGATGTGAGTCCTGACTGTCTGGCCCCTCAACTCACTCCCATCACCACGGTGATGCTGCTGTCACTCAGATCCACAGAGGGTGTGACGGTCAGTGAGGACTTTCCTCTCAGATCATCTGTACACCCTCAAACATTTCAAGTATTGTAATGTTCTTGTCTACTTCACAGGCTCATTTAGAGGAAGATAAACAATTTGTGCTCCTGGATGATGATGATGCTGATGATGAAGGTGGAGAGGGCGATGCTGTTTTGGATGAAGAGGGAGAGACTGAGGTTGATGACAGAGATGTTGCAGGGTATGTCTCTGTCTCTCTCTTTCATCCTGTCTCTTTAGTTTTCTCTTATGTAAGAGCACTAATCAGGATTCTGTCCATTCTCTCAGATTCAGTGTGGAAAATGCTTATATAGATGAGAAAGAAGATGCTTGTGATGCTTTGGGTGAAATCGCCTTCAACACGGGGTAATGAGGCATGTTTTACATATTGCACAAATACTCATGCATTTGCATTTACAAACTAGAAGCTTACGTTAGGTGTAGATGCTCTACCGTACAAAAGTCTGGGGTCAGTACATTTTTGTATTTTTATTTGTATTTTTTTTTTTTCTCAAAAAAAATAATACTTTTATCCGGGGGCAGTGCATTAAATTGATCAAAAAAGACATTTATAGTGTTACAAAAGATTTCTGTTTTCAAATAAATGACAGTCTTTTGAACTTCTTATTCATCAAAGAATCTTGAAAAAATGTTGAGTGGTTTCCACAAGAATATTAAGCAGGACAATTGTTTTCAACGTTGATAATAAGAAATATTTCTTGAGCACCAAATCAGCATGTTATAATGATTTCTGAAGGATCACGTGACACTGAAGACTGGAGGTAATGGCTGCTGAAAATTCAGCTTTCCCATCACAAGAATAAAATTTTAAAGTAAAAATTTAAAATAAACATCATTCTAAAGTCATATAAAATAGAATACGGTTATTTTAAGTTGTAATAATATTTCATAATATTACTGTTTTTGCTGTATTTTTGATAAAATAAATGCAGCCTAAGAGAATTCTTTCAAAAATATTTAAAAAATCGTACAGACCCCAAACTTTTAAACAGTGATGTAATGCTCAGTTTCTCTTGAAGTGAAGTGACGTGACATGTGGCCCAGTATGGTAACCCATACTCGGGGGTTACTGCTCTGCATTTAACCCATCTAAGTGCATACAAACAGTAGTGAGTAGTGAACACACACACACACACACCGTGAACACACACCCGGAGCAGTGGGCAGCCAATTGCTGCGGCGCCCGGGGAGCAGTTGGTGGTTCGGTGCCTCAAGGGCACCTCAGTCGTGGGTATTGAGGGTGGAAGAGAGCACTGTTCGTTCACTCCCCCCACCTACAATTCCTGCCGGTACTGAGACTTGAACCCATGACCTTTGGGCTACAAGTCCAACTCTTCAACCAGGCCACGACTGCCCTAATGGTTAGAGGCCTAATGGTTGTCTGGTTTGACTGCATTAAAGAAAGCATTCATAACAAACTACAATTCCATAACAGTGTATTTGAGGATATAATGTTGGGCTCGACATTGAAGGAGTTTAGTATTATTTGTTAATATTATTTTCCCCAACCTGTGTGGCAAAACACACAGTCTTTAAAATATAGCTGATTTTTGTCTTATTTTTATGTCTGCCAGAGTGGCGTTCCAGCCCTTCCTGGAGTCCAGCTTCCAGCAGGTGTATGAGCTCCGCGATGTGAGTGACTGGTGCAGTGTGTGGTTTCATGAGTGCTTGTTTGTAATGCTGATGTGTTACTGATGTTTGTGCTTTTTTTGTGAATGTGCATCCATTAGTTCCCACATGAGGATGTGAGGAGAGCTGCCTTTGGTGCCATGGGACAGTTCTGCCGAGCTCAGCACAAAGTGTGGAAGGAAAACCCAACAGAGGCCAACCACCAGGGTACATTCACACCAAATGTGCACAATAGGTCTGGGCGGTATGACAGCATAGCATGTGATAGTAGCAATGTGTCAGCTAGTAGAGATTCTGCTGTACTGTTTATACCTCAGTGAAGCTAAAACTGTAGTCTACACTTCTAACTGTTGTACATGCGGGTTTTTAGTATTAATTATAACTGGAGCTAGAAATGTCGATTTTTCAGGAATTTTCATAACTAATTATGATCTAGAAATTAACAATCAATGAATCAAATAAGTGTTAATGTTAATATCACTAAATGTTTAAGAATCTAAATCTTGTGTTCTTTTAATTTTAATTAAAAGTTATACAATACTGCTAAAAAATATGGGGTCAGTAAGATATTTTTTTCTCACTAAAGACTGGAGTAATGGCTTCTGAAAATTCAGCTTTGTGATCACAGGAATAAATTCCATTTTAAACCATATTAACATAGAAAACAATAATAATAATATATTTAATGTTATAAATAAAAAACATAAAAAAATCTTACCAACCCCAAACTTCTAAACAGTAATGGTAACATTCAAATTTTGAATAATTATAATATACTTTTTATTATTTAAATAAATACTGGTATTTTCCTCTTGATTTTTTTTAAATTGAATGTTCTTTCTGTTGTATTCTGATACAACATTGATTGTCAATCAAGTTCCAAAAAAAAAATCAAATGAGATGCAATAATTAGGTTATTTGCATAACTATGTAGTTTAATTTATGAAACATATAGGGGTTGAATTTCCAGAACCAAATAACTATGTTGGGATAAATATACCGTATCATTACAAGGCTTTGCTCAAAACGCCCACCACTAGTACATATCTACAGCTCTCTGGATTTTCATTTGCACTCTTTTATATTCACATCACTCTCTACTTCCTTTGATCTATTCTGTCTCATTATTGATGTCTCCAGAAAGAATTAAGAGGAGCTTCATTTGACAAGAAGATTAACTTTTAACTCTGCCTTCATTGATGCAGAGTGCCTCACAGCACCTGTCAGTCATTCATTCATTCATTCATTCATTCATTCATTCACTCACTCACTCCCTATCGTTTCCTTTCCACCCACTTCTTTAGTTAAATGAGCTGCAATCAGTATAAAGATGAAAGGACTTGTGTTTTTTTTAATTACCCTGAATTTTTTGATCAACTCATGCATATTTCTCTTTATATCTTTCCAGCTCTGCATAAGCTGTTGCAGGTGGTTTTGCCTTGTTTTCTGGAGGCGGTGAGACAGGACAGAGAGAGACAGGTGGTGATGGCCATACTGGAGTCCATGAATGCTGTCATCAAATCCTGCCAGGAGGAGGCGCTGCAGGCGCCAGGGATACTGGCCGAAATAAGTAACACCATCAAAGATGTACTGAAGAAAAAGGTCAGGAATTAATTTTAAGAGCCGTTTTAGTATCAAGCCCTAAAATTAACCAGATATAACATCATAAAAGCTGTAAATTCCTTGTAAAGTTTTTGTCTGGACCAGCTGAGATGACATAATTTTTAAATAAAGTCATTTTGTGTTGTCAGAACCCAAAAAAAAAAATCGGAAAAGGGTGTAAAAGGCAGTTTAAAGGGGTCCTATTATGCTTTTTCACTTTTTCAACTTTAGTTAGTCTGTAATGTTGCTGTTTGAGCATGAAAAAGATCTGCAAAGTTACAAAGCTCAAAGTCCACTTCAAAGGGAGATATTTTATTTAACAGAAACCACTTTTCAAAAACTACAACGAACGACTCGTTTGGACTACCAATGCATATTTTCCGGGATTTGTGATATCACAAATATCGACGAATGGGACGAGACCTGGTTGAGCTGCACTAGAGAAGGCAACGAGTGTTATCACTTTGTTGGAGACACGCTAGCTTTCCCAAGGCAGACGAACTTGGAGTGGTTACAATCATCCGGGTTTAAATCACGCTCCAATTGATTTGATTTTGACGCAATATTTACACTGAAGCTCGCAGGCAGCTATGGTAAGGGGCGTGACATTTCCAGACCAGGCGCCGAGTGCTGCCAATCACAACACACACTGGCCCAGCTAACCAATCACAGCACATTTCGTATTTCAGAAGGAGGGCCTTCATTTGATACAGGAACTATTCGAGCCGTTCATGCCAGACTGGGGAGATGTATTGTAATAATGTAAAATATGTGAAAAATAATGTGTTTTTCGAACAACCTAGTATGAGAGCCTGTTCTAGTACACCCCGAAAACAAAATCAAGACTTTGTAAAAGAGCATAATAGGACCCCTTTAAAGAGAGAATTCACCCAAAAATGAAAATTCTGTAATTTACTCCCTCACATGTTGTTGCAAACCTGTATTTTTTTCTTCTGTTCAACACAAAAGAAGGTATTTTGAAAAATGTGGGTAACTGAACAGTTGATGGTCCCCATTGACTTCCTTGGTATGTATTTTTTCTTGCAATGGAAGTTAATGGGGTTCATAAATTGTTTGGTTACCCACATTCATCAAAATATCATCTTTTGTGTTCAACAGAAGAAAGAAACTCATACAGCTTTTGAGGGTGAGTAAATGATGTAAGTGAGTGAGTCTCTTTAAAGACTCCATACAATTATCCTTTGAAAATCCTTCTAAGCCAAGCACAAGGCTTATACTGCGTCAAGAAAATTGGTATTAAGTAATCAAATGCATTCAAGCAGCAGCTAATTCTCACTTCTTCAAGGTGTTATGCAAGTCTGCAGTCATAAGGGGGTGGATGGATGTTTCTTTTGCTTGTGATCCTATTTTCTCTCTCTGTCTCACTCAGACCGTGTGTCAGGATGTAGGTGGGGATGAAGCAGATGAGGACGAGCAGCAGGTGTTTAAGAGGATTTCACAGTTTTTACAATTTAGTCACAGTTCACTGTCAGCAATGACACAATTAACCTAAAAAGACTGTGACCGAGTGGAATAATTGAGCCTTTGTGTCTCAGGTGGAGTATGATGCCATGCTGCAGGAGTTTGCCGGTGAAGGGATTCCTGTTTTAGCCTCTGCCGTACCAGCTGAAACTTTCTACCCTCACCTCAATGACTTGCTGCCCCTCATCATGAGTAAAGCTGTGAGTCTCTCACTCTCCCATTCAGTGATCACTGATGTAGGATGTACTTTATCACCTAAAGGCCTATTCACATCAAGACCATTATGAATCGCAAGTTTTTCACATAGTGTGACAGAACTTTCATCTGAAAAACGTTTTCTAACCTGAATTAAAGGTGCAATAGGTGATTGTCTTCAGAAAATTTTTTTGTTATGCTGGTTGAAAGTCTCTTCACATCCCGATAGCAATCATTAAGTTAAGTGGTCTAAATGTATTTGTCTGTATTTATATATTCTGTGGAAGGCGTAGGATCAAGAAATGTTCCAATCAAAATGTAGGACCAATCAAAACGCTCGGTCCGAGCATTTTAATATGCTTTCCTTCCTGCCTGTAAACGTATGTATTAGCATACCTCTGCGCACCGGGTTTGCGCAGACAGGATACGTCATCAGCGCGTTCACGCACGCTGTGCAGACAGAGCGAGAATGGAAACATCAACAACCCGATCTTCCTTCCTGGTATTGTATTACTTTCAAAGTTTTCTCACCGGTGAATGACACATGAGTTAGCCAGCGGTTATTCCAGTCCTCGCGCCAGCTTGTTAGAAGTGAGCTACGTGCATGAACTGTGTTACGATCGATATGATCCCTACACAGTGTTCATTGCTCCCTACTCCTGTGGTGTCGTCTGCTGCTCATCTTAGGAACCACACTCAGTCTTGGGTTTTGATGCCAGGAGATACACTTTATTACATCATCAATGAGAATAAAGCGGAGATGCTCTCTGCAGCGAAACATCTCCAGAATGATCATCTTGTCTTCTTTTTATACAGTTCTGACTTTAAGGCGTTTTCCATACATAGAATGGTTTCTTTGTGCATACAATTCTCCCTCGAGAGAAGGATTCCCTCAGGCAACGACTTAAAACCCTTTTCAGCTCTCAACTCAAACGCAAGTAACAAACAAAGTCTTCTATCTGCTGAAATCGGTGCTGAGTTGATCTTAAGTATTAAAGATAAGACAAATCTCTGCTATTCCATCTGTAAATATCCTTCACTTTCTTTTCTCTCTTGCCTCTTTGTTTTCACAGCTGGTTTCTTTTTTTTTTTTTCTTTTTCTCCCAGCTCTACTGGTTCTTACATTTGCCTTTCTCCAGTTAGTTCTGGTTCTCCTTCTCTTCCACACAGACACCAAACATGCAAAAGTCTATACAAGATCTTGATTAAATTTTTATTTATATTATTTTCCTAAACGCATTCACACTGCTCGTCCCTTTATTCACACACAGGGCTCATGTTTTCATACTTTGACGCTTTATCTAGAGGGTTCTTCATTCATTATTTTGTCCCTTTATATTTATTCAGGGCTCATGATTTATTCACATGGGCTGGAATTGGGAACCGCTGATGTAGCCTATTGTAGTAATGTTGTCTCTGGTATTCTGGTCTGTGAGCATAAAAGCGTTCAGGGGGTGTGGCTTTGGACGGCGATCGCAGGGAGGGTGGGATGTTCGCTTTCAGTGCCATCAGGCTAAAGTTAGGATTTTCCAAGATCTCCTACTGCACCTTTAAGGCAAAACACACTGCAGTAATGCTTTAAAGGGGTCATATGATGCGATTTCAAGTTTTCCTAAATGAACAACAAAATTAAATTAATGTGATACAGGAGTATGTGTGTGTGTGTGTATGTGTATATATATATATATATATATATGATTAAAATCTTTAGTAATATTTCTCCTGTTGCAAGGTGATTTTTTTTTTTTTCTTGTTTTTAAATGTCTTTTAATTGCAGTCAATGTTTAATCTTGTCAAATTAATTAAATCTGGTGTATCTGTCTAAATGGTAATTTAGTGTCTTATGTGGCAATTTAGTTGATATGCAAAACTACTTGATGATTTTGCAAAAATGATCAAATATTACCCTTCAACGGTTTATATTACTGTCAAGATTTTTTTTTAATTAATTAATTTATTTTACATTTTTGAAGGAAGTCTCTTCTGCATTTATTTGGCTGCATTACAGTAAAAGCAGTAAACTACAGTAACATTGTGACATTGCACAATCTATCTATTTTAATATATTTTGAGATGTAATTTATTCCTGTAATGCAAAGTTGAATTTCCAGCAGCCATCACTCCAGTCTTCAGTGTCACATAAAGCTTCAGAAATCATTCTAAAGTGCTATGTGGTGCTCAAGAAACATTTATTATTACCAGTGTTGAAAACCGCTGTGTTGCTTAATATTTTTGTGTTTTTTTCCCCCAGGATTCTTTGTTGAATAGAAAGTTCAAAAGAACAACATTTGTTTGAAATATAAATCTTTTATAAATTTTACTGTCACTTTAAAAAAAATAATAATTTTAATGCATCCTTGCTGAATAAAAGTATTATTTTTTTTTTATCTTACTGACCCCAAAGTTTTCCACAGTAGTGTCTATATGTATATTTAAGTATTTTAGTATTTTCCTAAATTGTTTTAAATTAACTATCATCATATTGTCTTTAATTGTAAAATCAAAGTAATTCTTAATAAATGAAATGTGTTGCCATTGTTGCCTTGTATTTCATTAGCATTTGAAGCATTTCCATACTCTCTGCTGTTTTTTTTAGAAATCCTCATGCACAGAGGCAGACCGCTCCTTCTCAGTTGGTACGATTGGAGAAACCTTGCACTCATTGGTGGATGTGGCTGGATGCAGGGTGGTAGCTGGCCGGCTGTCCAATCGGCTGCTGCCAGTGCTAGTGGCCGGAGTGAAGGACAGTGATGCAGAGGTGCGCAATAACGGTGTGTTTGCACTGGGAGCTCTTGCACAGGCCGCTGGACCCATCATTGCCTCGTATCCTTAGATCCCTGTGTGCATGTGAACCTGTTCTCTGAACTCCTTGACTATGTGAACCTTAACCCCTTTTGCTTCAGTGAATACCCAATGATGCTTTGAAAAAAAAATGAAAATTTGCTGAAAATGTACCACCTCTCAGGCCATCCATCATGTAGATGAGTTTGTTTCTTCATCAGAACAGCTTTGAGAAATGTTGCATTACATCACTTGCCCACTAATGGATCCTCTGCAGTGAATGGGTGCCGTCAGAAGAGTCCAAACAGCTGATAAAAACATCACAATAATCCACAAGTGATCCACAACTAAATTAACGTTTTGTGAAGTGAAAAGCTGCATGTTTGTAAGACACACATCCATGATTTTTGGCATTTTAAAATTAAACCCTCGCTTCTGACCAAAATCCATAATAATGCTTCCTCCGGTGTAAAAGTCCATCACCTGTTGTCCTCTCACATCAAAACATATCCACCAACATATTTGTTTAGAGCTCTTTTGGATGGTTTACACTTGTAAATGGTGCTTGCTCTTTGCATATTTCTCTTCTGATTCAGACGAGACTAATTTTCACTGGAGAAAGCTATATTGTGGATAGAGGACTTGTATTTTAGCTGGAAGCATTGGTTTGAAGTGAAAAATGTTTTGATCACAGACGTGCTTCGCATGACGTTAATTGATTTACTAGAGTCGTGTGGATTACTTGTGGATTATTTTGATGTTTTTATCAGTTGTTTTAACACTCATTCTGACGGCACCCATTCACTGCAGAGGATCCTGTGGTAACGAAGTAATGAAGAAACAAACTCCAAGTCTTGAATGGCCTGAGGGTGTGTACATTTTCAGTAAATTTTCATTTTTGGGTGAAAGATTCCTTTCAAGGCCCAATGTACAGTATTTTTGCGTTCATTGCTTGGGGTAGAAAGAAGTTTAAGAAGTTAGTGTTAACGAACATCCTGACGCAGACCATGCAGCTGAGAGTGGCGTTTAGGTGAATATATAAATATGTGCTGCACGCTTTCCTCTTAATAGCAAAATAAACTTCAGCAAAAATGACAGCAGTGAGAAAACGGCAGTTAAGAAAGCATCTGGTCATAGTGATATAGATGTTTGCAACTCTTTAATTCAGCACTCCAGTCAAGTAGCGTCATGTTTATTTATATAGCACTTTATACAATAGATAGCTTTAAAGTAAGCAGATTTACAGCATTAAACATAAAAAAAACGGCAGTGCTGCTTTTACAACCTCAGTTTCTACTATAAAACACCTTTCTAGTAATGTTCATGTTTTACTCATGTCTGATCTTGATGGACTGAACCGAAGAAATTAACTTTCCATGTCAAACAGCACACCTGCCTGTCAAGTAATCTGCATGCACCAATGGTGGTTTGCAGGTGTTTATCAGCTGGAGCAAACTTTTCCTGGAAAGTTCACTTTGGTAAACTGTTTCAAACTTCTGAAACAAACTCGAAACTGAGTTTTGGCCAGATTTCATTCTTCAATTTCATCTGAAGTATATCAGAGCCTTTAGCATCTATACTATAAACCTCTGTATCTATTAACAGTGGCTGATATGACAAAAGTATATCAGGTTATAATACCCATTTTACCCTTTTCTCTCAGGTCTTTCCTGCTCTCGTGGCTCGTCTCCCTCTGAAGGAGGACATGGAGGAGAACAAAACCATCTACAGCTGCCTGACCTTCCTCTACTCACACAACCCTGTGCTGGTACAAGCTCATTTTCACTCCCGGCATGCTCCGCTCACAGCACCTCATTGAATTGTGTCCTGTCAATGCACTGACTTGTGTTGTATTTCTCACTCCAGGTTGTTCGTCATCTCAGGCCAATAATATCTGCTGCTGCTCATCTGTTGGGCATGAAGGATGTTGATAATGGTGAGAAAGTGTTTATTTGATTGGATTATTTTTATTTTATATTTCAAATGACATTCATAATTCATAATTTCTGTATTTACTCATATTTATTCTTTTTAGAAACACGAAACACCCTACTCATGCTGCTGAGAGGTCTAGCACAGCATCACACCCAGGAATTTGAGAGTGCGGTAATCTCACTTCCTGATGAACAGAGAAACAAAATGACCATGGCTGTCACTCAATCATAGCACCTGCCCCTTATCCTAAGTATCACCTTTCACAAGGCCTACCACTCTTGTGAAAGCCAGCCAAACTGATAATAGATTTTTTATTATATTAGAAATGGGCTGATTCAGTTAGCTGAGTATGCTCTCACTGGTGTACTCTGCTTTCTGTATTGCAGCAGAGACGTTGAGACTAATTTCTCTTAATTTATTGCAGTGATCACTTATGCTTCTTGTCACTTTTAGTTTGTTTTACTGAGTTGTCTTTCATTTATTATTTTTCTGTATGTCTCAATGAATCTTCTGCATTCCCATCTGTATTTAATATTCCATGAAATTCTGGCTTAATATTCGAGTGTGAAACTTTTGAATTGTTGCAGTGAAAGAAATATATTTCTATGAATTGGTCATTGTCGTTCCTGTGTTTCTGTTATGCGTGTTCTTGCAATGCTGCCACATGCCATGAATGTTAAACTTATCCAGAATTAGTGTAAGAATCCACAATCTTTCTGAAAAAGCACATTTTTATTATTATAGAAAAGTGCAGATTATAAATACAGGGTTTAATGTTGCAGAGTGGGTTTATATAATTTCTGGATTATCTGAACTCTTCATTGCATCAGTAATGCTTCCTTTTATGCACCAGCAAATTAAATCAAAATATACACTACTGTTAAGAAGTTTGGGATTTGTAACATTTTTAAGGTTTTTAAAGGCCTTTTTTGATCAAGAAATACAGTAAAAACAGTAATCTTGTTCAATATTAAAATAGTTTCCTATTACATTTAATTACAATTTAAAATATTATTCTTGTGATGCTGAAAGCTGAATTTTCAGCATTATTACTCCAGTCTTCAGTGTCACATGATCCTTCAGAAATCATTCTAATATGCTGATTTGCTGCTCTAGAAAATTTCTTATCAGTCGTGCTGCTTAATATTTTTGTGGAAACCATGATACTTTTTTCAGGATTCTTGATGAATAGAACGTTTAAAAGAACAGCATTTATTTGAAGTAGAAATCTTTTGTAACAAACTTTTTTACTGTCATTTTTGAGCATTTTAAATGCATACTTGATAAAATAATGAATAAAAAAACAAAACTTACTGACCCAAAACTATTGAACATTAGTGTAATAAAGATACACTTTATATAGTTAACATTTTATAGGCAAAGCTGTCCCTGATGAAATGTATGCTGAATACTCCAAAATGCAAAAATAGCATGAGATTAAAACCTCTTTTTGTAGCATACTACCCAAAAACTTTAGTTATACTGCCACATAAAATAAGTCAAATGAATCCTTCGATTACAGCATAGCACATAGAATTTAGACTGTTGCGCACCAGTTTAAAACGCCCAAAACCTGAAAGTGGAAGAGTCTTCTGTGTCATCTGAGGTGTTAGATTGCTTTAGACTAGCAGTCAAACATTTTCCACTCACTCCTCGCTTGGCAAATCTCGTTTTTCTTCTGTCTTCTGCCATTTGGACTTGTACTGTGACACTGTGTCCAAAGCCAGAGTCATTTCCACTGGCTGGAGATCATTTTCAGCTGGGGGGGGCACACAAGAATATTGTATTATCTGCATTATGTTATTATCTGCATCAGATTTCCATGACAAATTCTACACACAAACCCGGAGGACTTTGAGGTTGAAAAAGAGGTATGTTGAGGAAAAGAGCGAACATCAAATGCTCAACACCCCAACAGAAGAGGGTGCTGAGTGAGCGAATACCAAGCACACTTACTCAGCAGCCATGAGCGTTATATTAGCTCACCTCACTGATCTGTAGATGTCATCTGTTAGCTAACTGTCAGGAATGGAATGTTACTGCAAGCCCTAACATTGTGGCCTAATGCAAACTGGCAGACTGAAAAAAATGCTAATAAAATCACTTCAGCTGGACTGTAGTAATACCAGTTGTAATTAAGTGTGGAGATGGAAGTATTTGTGCAATGAAAGTCAGCAACAACAAACTGGGAAATCTGTGTGGTTACATTTCATTGGGTATTTATGTGTATGGTTACTCTTTCTTGACTATTCAGTGTTAATGTTGATTTTTCAGTGTGTATTTTGCAGATTTCATGTGTGCTGACAACATATTACTTAAAGTAATTTCTCAAAATGATTTACTAAATTAAACTGTTACCCACATGCCAGAACAAATCAATCTGAGCAGCCAAAAGCCACTGCAGAAACCATCATCTTGATAATCTTTGAACTGTAAAATCCAGCAAACATCAGTTGCATTTTAATGGGCTGCATAAGCAGATACATCGGGAATTTTACTACAGTGTTGTTTTAGTATTACTTATATACTGTTATAGTATTTATTAATCATTTTAATTAGCTTATTTTTATAATTTGAGTTTTAATTTTTAATTAAATTTTTAGTAGTTTTGTAATGTGCTTGTCTTTTTTAATAGCTCTATTTAGCTTTATGGAATTGTATTTTTTAGTCAGTTTTTTTACTTAGTTTTTATTTAGTTATTTAATTTAAATTTAATTTAATAGTTTTAATGTCAGTTAATTATAATACCATTGCTTTTCTGAATATGAAATTCACAGATTTTTTAATGAAAGAGTGGTTATTTATAAATAAGTAAATAAATAAATAAGGCCCTTTTAATTCTGTGCTCCAGGTTCAAAACAACTTAAGCTACATTTTGTCGATTAACACGGGCAATAATTTAGGTTCCCTTCTCAATTTAATATACAATGTATAATAAATGTATATATGGAACAGGGCATTTCAGGTTTAAAAGCAAAAATGTGCAACTCATATTTTTGTTAAAAGTATTTTTGTTAAAAGTCTTACATTAATTGTTCCACAAGAAAAAAAAAGTTGTTTTAATTGTCCCTATCATACTAATCTAAGTATAATGTTTAAGTTTAGTGTTTATACTTTTACAATAACTATGTTAACTATGTTAAAATAAATGTTTATTTTATAATTTTTTTTAATTATTTTTATTTTTATTTTGAGTTATTGTTTAGGTATGACTAGCGCTCAGAGATGGAAACTCGAGTCTGTGACTTGGACTCGAGTTGCACTTAAAGGTCCCCTGAAATGCTTAGAAACACGCAGCGTTATTCTATGTGTTGACCTCATTTTAACTGAAACAGGAAGACAGGGCGGGACATATCAAGCAGCCCCGCCCCTTTTTAAAATAGCCAATAGCGTTCGTTTATATCACAGCTTGCCAAACTCAATGGAAAGCATATTTACACTGTTTGAATCGTTCCCTGTCCCCTATATCAGTGTTTCCCAACCGGGGTGCCGTCTGTCGCGAGCAGGGGTGCCGTGTAAAAAATCCTTTTTTAATATGTTTAAATTGCTAAAATGTTCAAAAAAGCATCTATTATATAATATCCATTTCTGATGTCGCCAATAATTAGAGATGCGTCGAAATTTCGGCTGCCGAAAATTAGTTCACAGCTCAGGATTCACTTTCAGATGGTGTGACGCTCTGCGTATTATCCCGCTCTATGCGTGTGCGCTCCGCTCAGTCGCTCACGGCCCATGTGAGTGCTCTACTCATATACCGTTCATGCTCATCGGAACAGCAAAGTCCACTCAAAAATTGAGCGGACAGGAAACATCGATGTAGTACAGTATTGTTTCTGTCTGCAATAGCCCTACTGTGTTGTAACA